GCATGATCCTAGTCTACCAAAATGACCTTAATGCAGTTTTATCTTAGTAACGATAGAATTGCATCATCTTTCATCCCACGTTGTACCTAGTGTTTGTCATGTTACCAGTCTGAAGATATGATGAAGTTAGACAAAGCTGGATGTTCCTATTTCTCTCTAGGATGTTTCTAAGAAGCGTTATAAGATTATTCCACATTTAATGCAATTATAAGAAAATTTTCTCAGAAAGAACAACTGAAATCACAGCCGCTGTTGATAAGTTTTCGTAGCACCCAGACACTCCACTTCTCCGGGTCCAGTACATATCAAAGAAAGCAATTGACTGCAATACTCAAAGTAAAGGAAGGAGGGAGAACAAGTTTATTATGCTAAACACAGCCGCTTTCACAATGAGCAATGAGTTAATGGGAAAAAACATTTTCCAGGCACATGGGATTCTCTGGTCCAAATAGCTTTTGCTCAACGTTTGGCAAAGGTCTGCATGTAGGGCTCTAGGTGAAGAGAGAAAGCAAATAAATGTGACCTTTGTGAGGCTGTTTTTTTTTTTTTTTCTGTGAAGCCAAAAGGTGCACAAATACACAAATATTAGTCCACTCTTATTTTTGTGCTGGAAAACTTCTGCCTGGCCTTCAGCCCCCCTGCGTATCGTGATTGGCATCATGGCAGCCCAGCTAGCCTCCCACAGGCCTTGCCATCTGTCTAACCTGCTGAGAGGCCAGGCCGCATTAGTGTTCCTCTCAGCCAATGGGAAACGCCGTCTACTATTGGCTGTGTTCCTCTCCCCTCCTCCTGCTGATACAGTTTGTTTGGACACAGCACCTAAACCTCAGAATGGGTGGCTTTACTTCAGTCAAGCCCAGTGGCTAAATGGCACTGGTGCCCAAGCAGGGTAACCTGAGTTCAATCCCTGGAACCCACTCATGGGAGGAAGGAGATCCCCAAAGGTATTATCCTCTGACCTCTGTGAGTTTGTGAGCACACACTCTCTTTTTTGCACGCACGAGCGTGCGCGCGCATGCACATGCACACACACACACACACACACCTAAATAAAATAGGAAAAGTTTACAATGAAGTATGGAAAACTCTGTTGTTACGCTGATCTTGGCCATGGAGAGAAGAGAGCCCAGCTCTGAGAGAACGTCAGATCCCAAAGAGGACTCTGTCCTAGGTTTTCTTCCCTTGTGTCTCAGCACCTTAGATGCTGTGCAGCTTTCTGCTTGAATCCTTTGCTCTACATTAGTTTAATGAGGTCGTCACTTTCATCCGCCTGACAGGCACCCGCCTTCCCTCCTGTGTGTCTGTTTGTCTGTCTGTCTGACAGCTTCGCAGAACCACTTCAACCTTCACAGTTGCCTAACTCGCGCCTTGGGGAATGATGTTTATTTTAAAAGCCAGCTCTTGCCATTACGCCAAGGACCTTTTTGAAGTCTCCCCTTCTACACCCTTCTATTTAACAGATGTCCCCTTGACTTATGACTTAGTCACTTTGAAGAATGGTCAGTAAGCTATCTGTGAACCTCAAAACATACAGAAAGTCTCAGGTTATAAAAGGTAGTTGTTGCCGTGTGTCATGCCACATCTCTTTACCATTCGGGAGACAGAGGCAGCCAGATCTCTGTATGTTCCAGACTGGCATGACTACAAAGTGAGATGCTGTCTCATCAAAAATGTGGCTGTTGAAATGTCTCTGTGCTTTGTCTATCCCTGGATGTGTGCACATAATTTGAGTGCCCACTTAGGGCAGAGTTCAGCCTCTGTGTCGTTCCTTCGGAACTGGCCACCTTGTCATTTCAGCTAGGAATCCTCTCACTGGGACCTGGGGATCACTGATTTCAGTTCACTGCCAGTCTGACTGGCAGCTCAGCGGATCTGATGGATCCCGCCTTGAAGGAGCACCTGCCTTCTGTTGGCGCGCCTGAGCTAGCTCAGGCTTCTTCCAGGCCACGCTCGACCTATCTCCCAAGGCCTCTACATCTTCCTAACAAACATCTAGTCAAGAAGTACTGGCGAGGGCCAGGCACCAAATGGCAAGAGAACTTCTAAGCTTCATGACCTAGTATCCTCCTTTCCTCTTCCTGGAGGAATGATTATGCTTTAGCATTCAGATTTGTCTATTATCGAACAGTCCAATATAGCCCTTAGAATATAAAAAAAAAAACTATTTTGTCACAGAAAAACTGATTATCTACAAGAAACACCTCTTGTCTCGGAATTTCAGTTTTGAAACCGTGATCTGCTGATTGTTTTTTAATGAGTATGTGCTGTCTCCAGTACTTTGTGGGAAGCAGTGTAGTTTAGTTATTAACTTGAGTATCGTGGCATCAGAGTGCCGAGGTTTAAAGGAGGTGCGTTTACACACAAATCAGAAGGTGATTATCTCGGGCAAAGTGCTTAATACTCTTGAACCTCAGGTCTCTCCCACACATTAATGTTCTGGGGACTCAATGAGTTGATACATAAACACATGGACTTAGGCTTTATGAGTCTCACAGTTTTCTCATTGTGTCTGATATTATTAACGACGCCGTGCCTGGTGTAAAATAACAGCACTGTGGCTGTGAGGTGCCATTCTTACTATTTGCTTTAGTTATTATAACACTCTGCAGATGCATATAATCCCACTGTGCAGGCGAGGGAACTGAAGCCAGAGGAGGTTATTTAACTCTTCCAAGGTCAGAGGGCTAAGATTTCAGAGCTAAGGCTTATGTTCACCGGGCTGGGACCAAAAGCCTCTTTCCTGCTCACCCATGGAGTCTGTCTGACTCTTCATTACTTAGCATTGTCTGATGGGTGTAATGGTTGGTCTGTGAGAAAAGCCATGGTTGTGTCCACAGGAAAAAGTTCATTTCCTGTTTTTTTTTTTAAGTGTTTACAATTTCATCCTGGTAACAAGCTTAGGCTGTTAGATTGACATATTTCTTAGCATGTGTCTACATAAGTCTTGCTTCTTCTTTGAGGAGGTATATTGTGCAGTAGGAGAAGGGGTTTCTTGTTTGTTTTTCTTGAAATCAATGTTTTTTGCTGAGAGAATGGTCTTAATGAATATGCTCTTAGGAGCCTGGCATAGTGGCTACGGCCCAGGCAGGTTCTACTGATGATGGTTCTGAGTTGTTCAGTGAGCGAGTTCTCATGTGAAAACAGACAAATAGTGAGCTTTTAAAGCAGCTCGTGGCCTGTTTGTTAGAATTCATGACATCATCCCTGACAGTGGATCTTTGAACATCCTGGCACCTCTAGGACTCGGTGAACACACTGTGGAAAAGGAGTCCTGGGGCAGGTGTTCAGCAGATGTTAGCGCTAGGGCAAGTGTTCAGCAGATACTAGCTTTAGGACTTGGTGAACACGCGGTGGCAGAGTGAGCCTGTGGCAGGTGTTAGCTCTAGGACTTGGTGAACACATGGTGGCAGAGGGATCTTGGGGCAGGTGCTCAACAGATGTTAGCTCTAGGACAGGTGTTCAGCAGATGTTAGCTCTAGGACTTGGTGAACACACGGTGGCAGAGGGAGCCTGTGACAGGTGTTCAGCAGATGTTAGCTCTAGGACAGGTGTTTAGCAGATGTTAGCTTTAGGGCAGGTGTTCGGCAGATGTTAGAATGGAGTATCTGTGAGAGAAATGCTCCTTGTACAGATGCACAATGGGTAGATGGAAGAGGGACTGGGTTTTTTGTTTCTTTTATCTAAGCAATCATAATATTTGCCTTCATGGTGTTTTTCTGTTTTTTTCCTCTGACACCATCTCCCCCTTTAAAAAATGCATCTATGTATTGTGTGTCTGTGTTCATATTAATATCTGTGTGTGCAGTGTACGTACGTGTGCATGAATATGTGTACACATACTAGTATGAGCCAAAGGGCAATGTCAGAGGTCTTCTGTCCCTCTCCCCCTTATTTTTTTGAGAGATATTGTCACTCACTGAGCCTAGAGCTTGCCCCTTTGGCTAGAGTGACTGGCCTTTGAGCTCCAGCAAGTTGCCTTTCTTTCCTGCCTCCTCTTGCAGAGTTCCAGATGAATGAGCAGGCCTGGCTTTTCTGTGGGTGCTGGGGATTCCTAGTGTAGGTCCTGCTGCTTACACTGCATTGCTCTGCCCATTGAGCTACCTCACTACTTCCTTCCTCGTCCTTTGTAATGTCGCCTCAGTACTCTTTTTTTTTAATGTGTGTGTGTGTGTGTGTGTGTGTGTGTGCGCGCGCGCGCGAATGTGCACATATGTGCACGAGACCAGAGGTCAGACCCTGGTGTTGTTCCTCAGTAGGCTCTCAGTCTAGCATGTTGAGAGTTATTCTTTTACCAGGACCCGGGACACACAGGTTAGGCTGCCCAGTCATCTCCGAACCCTAGAATCTACCTGTGTCTGCCTCCCCAGGGCTAAAATTTCAAGCACACATCACCACTGTTCATGGCCTCTTAGAAATGGGTATTGGAAGTTGAGCTCAGGTCTTCAAGTTTGTGAGGGAGATGTGTGGTGGGCTGAGTTGTAGACATAATCTCAAACGTAAATTTTACCTTCCTGTTCAAGTTTCAGTGCGTTTCGCATCTTTTGCTTTGTAGTTAATAGTCGGAGTTGGGCTCAGCGAAGACACCTCAGTGGCCATAGACAAACTTGCTGAGTTGTCTTATCCTTCCCATTGGCCCTAGCAGAGCAGAGCCATCTTTGCTGGGGTGGATTACAAGCGGAAGTTTAGGATCAGTTTTTATTTATGGAATCAGTGGTTGCCTAACAGGAAGTTTTCTCCTTAAAGATTAAAGAAAATCAATCAGGATCTTTCCTACGTGAACAATAGTACTGACAGAGAAGAACCATATGCCGTTTTCCACGGCCGCTAATTATTTCTAGAATCAAAGGAAGAAGGCATCCTTTAATTCTTGCTTGAGTTTTAATTCGAGAATGAATTAAATACAGCACTAGCTGGTTAGCAATGGAGTAGTTATTCGGTGGGCATCTGCCTGCTGTGGGCGTGCGTTGGTTAACGTAACCTTTCAACTTTGCCCCTTTCAGCTGTTCCGTTTCCGCCAAGTCACCGGCTGACAGCGAAGGAAGTGTTTGATAATGATGGGAAGCCGCGTGTGGATATCTTAAAAGCACATCTCATGAAGGAGGGCAGGCTGGAAGAGAGTGTCGCCTTGAGAATAATCACAGAGGGTGCTTCGATTCTTCGACAGGAAAAGAACTTGCTGGATATTGATGCCCCAGTCACAGGTAAGGCCCTGGTGTGGAAGCCACTCTGCACCAAGCCCTGTGGAGAATAGTAAATCAAGGTCCTACCCACCAGTGAGCCTTTAGGTGCCTTGCACTTCATCTGGGCTTCCCTAGGGGATTAAAGATTTGTCTGTGCATAGAAACATTTTTATTTTCACTGATTGTCTGCAAAATTGAGTTACTGTGATCTCAGAAGTGATGTAAATACAGTTAATTGACAGTGTTTTGTCAGCAGAAACCCTACCCCAAGGGAAAGTTAGACAGAGTGTCCTCAGCCTTCCACAGGGGTGGCAGCCATGTCCAAGTGAAATGGAGTGAAAGGTGCTCTTAGCACCCGGGAACTGCTAGAATGTAGGTTCTCAGGCTCTGCCCTACAGCTGTTGAATCAGCATCCCCAGGTTAGACCCAGCATTCCATGTTTTGTTTAAGTCCCCTGAGTTGTTCTGGCCCACGTTAGAGTGTGAGAAGCACTGCTTAGACCAAGGAGGCCAAGGTGGTCTCCTTCCTACGGTGTTCATGCCTGGGGTTTACTTCCTGAATGTGTCTGTTCTGTCGCTCTTCTTAGAAAGATGTGTATTTTGCTGTGAGTATGCCGCTCTTATGTCATAAGAATTAAATCTTATTACAAACAGAACATCTAACACCTAGATAATTTAATCTGTTGTGTATATGCTGAAAGTGCAGGCTTTGATTTTCAGTGACATTAAGAATGTTTATTTTTTAAAAAAATATTTTTAACTTGTCAAGGGAAAACATTTCAGTGCAAAATATTTGAAAGAAAGACATTGAAAGTGTTTCATATACCTTCGTGTTTTTCATCTTCTGGATGCTCATATGCTTTTGCTATTGTTCTTGAAGAACATACTTGCATGTGGCTGTTCGTAGAGCAATGTGTTTCCTTGCTTATAAGAATTGACCGTTGCCAATGGAAAAGGTCTTCTTGAGGACCCCTAGTCCAAAGAAATGGACATTATCCACAGTTGGTTTTCGGTTAGCAGTTTCAGTGATGATCCTGTACATTTAGACAGCAGGAAGCATTTGTCCTATTGGTATTAGCCCTCTATTGGGCCATTGTCACTCAGTCAAGCCATCAACCTACTGTGTGCACATCAGAGTAAACCTTGGTTTCCATATTATCAGATAGAATCCAGTGTTATCTCTTCGTAATGATACAAAAGACGTGATGGTGCTGGGCTTTCTCCAGTGCCGAAACCCTAAAAATAACATGAAATAAAATCAGTATTTAAAGGCTGGTTAAGAGTTTCCAGCAGCAGAAGCATCTCAGAGCTTGATTGTAATTGCCTCCTGTATATTAATGACTGTGTGTGTACATTAGCTAATATCTTTATGATTCCATTTGTTTGTCAACAACAAGAATAAATGACATGATATTTTATTAGGTTTACTTTTCCTTCCTTTCCCATGATAATGTCCAGCTTCCAGTGAAGATTTCGTGTTAAATTCACCAGTGAGCCCAGTAGGTGTTGATGGAGGTGATAATTACAGCTTGAAGGGAACGTAAAATAAATGTTTAGGGGAATGTGTTTTCTGGCGTGGCTCAGCCATCCTTGTTTGATTAGCTTGGCCTGGAAGAAAGCACAGATTGCCTAAAAACTGGGTTCCTGAGTTTTTATCCGTGAGACCTAATCCTGTATATAGTCTAAGGACCTTCACTCCTTGATTCTGTGAAGAACACACCTGGCCTCTCTAGAGAGGTTCCAGGTGACATTGTAACAGTTTCCAGAACACAGATATGAAGATGTGTGGAAATCAACAATCAGTTACCTATAACTTCAGGTGAGGTAGAAAAAGCTTTGTAGTCAATACAGAAGTGCAGCAGGATACAGTTTTTCTTAGGGGGGTGTTTGTATTTTGAGATGAAGGCAGGATCTTGTAGAACCTCTAGCAGGTATCCTTGGAGAGGTCTCTACTCCTTTTTGCCCTTAATGTAAAGATGAAATAATAGTGGCAAAGAGGGCGGGTAAAAAGGATTTATTATAGCATTTAGGTAAAGGGGAGAAACATTTTCATGTTTAATTCACTAGAAAGCCAATGTCTTTGTCTGCCTAAGCTGCTATACAACAGTTTCCGAAGGCAACTCTTTCATAAGCAACAGAAGTCAATTTCTCACAATACAAAGGCCTGAGAAGTTCAAGATCATGGCATTGACAGATTTAATGTCTCCTGGTTAGGGCCTGTTCCGTGGTTCACAGACAATGGCTTCGCCTGTGTCCTTACATGGGAGAAGGAAGTGGCCTCAGTCTATAGACACTGATTCCATTTCCAGTTACTGTAGAGCCCCTTTCATGCACCCTCCCTGAGTCTCTGCTATTGTGTATTAGATTTCAACCCAGGAATCCGGGGGAGACCTAAGTGTTCAGACCACAGCAGCTACAATAAGGAACAAACTCCAACACACGACTTTCTGAACAGCAGCATAAAAATGGGCGAAATTGGAAAAGAAAAGCAGGGCATGCTGTTCAAGAAAATGCTGACGCTTTGCTTCGTGTTTCGGAATAAAAGTGAAATAGCCATTACTTGGCATCTAGAATCCTCTCAAATCTGAAGCCCTCCGAGTAACAGGGGATCATCCAGACAGTCAAGAAACCAGAACGTGTCAGCTTTCAGATTTTGGATTAGGGATATTCAACCAGTGTAGTCCCTGCAAATACTCCAAAATCTAGAATACCTCTCCCAACAAGCCTTCTAAAAAGAGGGGTCCTGAGTCTTGACTTAAGACTTGATAATGTTTTATGGCATCTGGTTGTTGTATTCTGAGATTTTACTTTATTTGGACAACTGAGCTGGCCAGATGTTTATATTTTAACTAAGGGTTTATTTGTTTAGATAATTGAATCAGCAAAGTAGATTTAGTTTATACTTGAAAAATTTCATGATAAAGTGTTCTTTATATAATTCTGATTATATATATAAAAGACCACCTGTGAAAAAATTCAGAGACAAAGGAGAGAACAAAGGCAGGCAAGGAGTAGGTGAGTGGGAAGCTGTGAGAAAAGATAAAGGGGAGATAAATGAGTTTTGGGGAGACAAAGGCTTGAAACCTAATTTCTAAGGTGTTTATTTTTTCATTTTTCTTAGGTTCATTTATATGTAATTGTGTGTGTGTGATATGTTTATATCTCATGTTTATGGATACATGTATGTGCATATGTGTAATTCCACGTTTAGTATAGAAGACCAGTAAGAACTCAAAACAAAGCAAGTGGCAAATATTTTATTTGTAAATATTGTATACAGTGTTTGCTGGCCCTTGGCTTTTTTGCATCTTTTGTGCTTTTTATTAACAAAAAGGACATTTTGTGTAGGGCAGAGTGGTCCTGACATCTGCCATGGTTTACTCATCGTTTGCTGATTTGGGTTGAACCCCAGAACCAGTGGTGTCCTGGCTGTTAGCAATCTGGATATTGATCCATCCATCCATACATACATACACATGTAAACATCATACACACACACACACACACACACACAATGTCTATATAATATGCCACAGTTTGTGCTTATTTGGTATTTCTTCTTTTAAAATGTACATTCTGTTTTGGAGAAGTCAGAAGTGGCAGGAAGCGTCCTGCTGTGTCTTCCTGAAGGGTGCCATTTGGACTGGAGACTTAGGAAAGCAAGCAACCCTTCTGTGGTTTCCCAAGCTAGACAAAGGAGGGGAGGGTATTAAAAAAAAAAAAAAGCCCCGCTCCTTTTCCTAAGTTAAATTGTCTGATTAGAATGAAAATTCTAATAATAATACTGAAGATAAGTTTTGAAGAGTCTGTTTTCTTGGTAGAGTCATTTGAAGAAGGAAATCATTTTTCTTTTGACTTTCTTCTGAAAGTTAGGTTGTGTTCTATTGCTGTTCCTTTGCAAATATATACATGATACCTTTTTTTTTTTTAAAATATAGCCAGATATTAGTGTGATTACCCAGTTTGGACATTCAGTGTAATAGGTTGGGTGTCTACTTCTGGTATAGTGGAATGTGCACTTTGTGAGTAAGGGCTGGTTTCTGTCCTTCAAGGACACAGGCTCTAGCAGGAAACAGTGTTTGCCCAAAGATAGACACATCAAAGCACTGATTAAACTAAAGGCCGTGGCCTCCACTTGTTAATATAGCTAACTCCACGCCCATCTCTTTCTCATCTTCTTAATAGCAGTAGTTCCCGAGACACTGTCCATTGAGCTGAACTAAGACACAGCAAAATAAAAATACAACACGTAACTGGGACTCAACTTGTGCTAGATATGGACTAGAACCGTTTGAGAAGGTTCAGATTGCCAGGGACCTTCAAGGATGCAAACAAAGCACACCGCAGGTGTCACGTTGTCATTTTTAAGAGCTATAGGAGAGGAGTGGGATAATGTTATAGACACCAGAACATAACTGTAGGAAGAACTCAGAAAGTGTGGCAGCTTATCTGATGTGTGACTCAGTCCCTATGTCGTTTTACTGTACGAAAAGGCTGTGGAGTAGACTTCTGGCTAGCCAATAACAGCATAAACTTGTATCATAGCAAGGTATGTTCATAGAAACTCGTAGTTTGGTTTGGGTGGGCAAGGGACAGAGGTGTAGCGTGATCTGGGTCAGTGTTGTATTGGCAGCAGGAAATAGGCCAGCAAGAGGTGTGTTGGAGCAGGGTTCATAGCAAGGCTAGCATCCCAAAAGGGATATGGAGGGTGTGTAGGGACGAGCCAGGGGGAAAGAGTGGTCAGCCACCCTTTCTACTCCCTGATTTTGCCAGAGAAGGGAGAATGGCTCTGATTTTTTTTTTCATTACAGAGCCTTTTAAAGAGTGATTGTTTATGTTGACTTTCAAACTAATATTTAATTTGTGTTTTACAAACAAGTATCCATAAAAGGAATCCTGACTGAGGTAAGATTGTTCATACGAAGACCCAGTGTACTGTATTTCTCCTGGTGGGTCATACGTTCCTGTCTGATTTTCCTTTTGACTTAGAGTACTCCAAGGCAATGGAGGAACTTCAACTTC